GTACTTGTACTTCAATGATTGAGTATTCCTTGCACCCACTGTAAATACACAGTTAAACCAATGATGCAAAAAAGGAATTTTAATATCAAGCTACAATATCAAATTAGCAAAATCTTGTTCATAGCAGTGACAGAACGTGCACAGTTCACGAGGTCGAGATCACACATGAACTGGTTGGCTTTCTAATCTGAAATTTGACAATTAAAATGCCTTCTTGCTGAATAAAATCAATTCAAAAAAAATTCTTTCACACAAAAAATCTTTGGGAAAAAATATTCGTACTCAAAAAGTTTAGTCTATTCAGTGCCAATTAAATGATGCATTACTTGACAAAATGATTACCACGCACTGTCTAATGAAACCTGCAATGTCAAATGAGCGGTAATCCCCATGAGGACTAACATGCATTGTCCCCACAAGGATTTCAGATATAGCCATCTTTGTGGAGATTTTTAGGGTTTGCCAGGAAAAACACTCCATGGGGACATCTTGCAGGGTAAACAGAAATGTGGGACAATACAAGCGGAAACCCAGGGCGGATCTGTCACCAGAACGCTGTCCTGAGCCTGTCAAATATGGAGCCAAGCTTCCTACACACAGTCTGTCATATAAGAGAGGAATCAATCCAGGTAAAAGAAAACTGTACATCCATTTGAACATCTGAGAAACGCAGACATTTTGATGAATCTCTCAGTTCCAGATGCAGCTGTGATGTTAAGGATTCAATTCAGCTGAACCCCAGAATGACAGCTTGAAATCTTTGAGGCACCCGTCAATGTTTGTTGGAGATAGATAGTCTCTCTCTAATGTAGACTAAAATATACTTTTGAAATATTCATTTTCATTTATATAGTACATTTATAGGCTATATGGATTTTACGTCATAGGAATAATTATATAAATCATTACATTATTATAATAATTGTTTGGGATCCTAATGTAGACTAGGGTGACCACCTGCTAATAAGCCCAAGGGGGGACAAGGGGTATGTTTCTGAGGGACAATGTGGGACACTGCTTGGCGCGGCGGTGCCCCCACCCCACGGGCAGACTCTGATAGTGGTTTACCCATATCTAGAACTGTTACTATTGCCTTACTGTTTGTACATGAATAATTGTTAAAAAAAAGCACATACTGTACCTTACATACATTAATGCCCTATTCCCTAAACATGTGTAATTGCTGATATATGTTCATGATAGGCCAACCAATGTGTATTTTTTTTTCTAAATAAAGATGAATATTTTGTACATTAAATGAATTGACAGATGCACTTCCACTTACGATTTACTTTAGCTATTTAATTTTATTTATTTTTCATTACAATTAATTCACTTTAAATAAATAAAAATATAAAATTATAGGATTAACGGGAATTATAGTTGCTCAACACCACAGGAACCGTTTTAAAAAAAAGTCGAAAAAAAGTCTAAACTCACAACTCCTGAGGTTCACGGAACGAGAAGCTGCGCTGTCATGACACCAATGAAAAAGTTGACATCAACCTAGTCAGCAGGTCACGTGGGAGTGGCAACCAGTCTTGGGGAAGTTCACTTTCTACATGAACTAGTTCAAAGTTCAGTTCACACATTTTAAAATGAACTAGTTCAGTTCAAAGTTTGCACAGAAATGTAAGATTTTTCCCATTTTCACCGACCTCGTTATAAAATCCGTTTAAATTATCATACGACGCCTTTGTCGACGGCGGCCGCGGTGCGACACTGGTGGCTTGTGTTGCCAGATTGGGTGTTTTTTCGCTACATATTAAGCCCCGTTTACGGTGAGTTTTAGCCGGGTTTTCACCTGGAAGGCTCTATAGAAATCTGGCACCCCATTGAACGAAGTTAAAGGGTTAGTTCACCCAAAAATGAAAATTAAGTCATTAATTACTCACCCCCATGCTGTACCAACCCCGTAAGACCTTCGTTCGTCTTCGGAACACAAATGAAGATATTTTTGATTAAATTTGAGATCTGTATAACTACCACATTGGCTCCTAAGGGACTGCCTCTTGACGGCCCAAAAAGTCAATGAAGAAAATGTTTAAATATCCCAAGTGACTACCGTGGCTCAACTATATGTTTACGCAAGCGACGCGAATACTTTTTGTGCGAAAAAACAAACAAAAATAACGAGTTTATTCGACTATTTGTTTCTTCCTTATAGGCCAGAACGAGACTTCCTTATAGATTTCCACGACGCATGCGCGAGAATTGCGATCTGAAGTAGTGTAAGCTGTGTACGCAGATCGCAAATCTCGCGCATGCGTCGTGGAAATCTATAAGGAAGTCTCGTTCTGGCCCACAAGGAAGAAAAAAATAGTCGAATAAACTCGTTATTTTTGTTTGTTTTTTCGCACAAAAAGTATTCGCGTCGCTTGATAAACATATAGTTGAGCCACGGTAGTCACTTGGGATATTTAAACATTTTCTTCATTGACTTTTTGGGCCGTCAAGAGGCAGTCCCTTAGGAGCCAATGTGGTAGTTATACAGCTCTCA